CGGGGGTGCTCTGGGGCACACGGGGTGTCTGTTTTGGGGCACACGGGGTGTCTGCTTTGGGGCACACAGAGGTGGTCTCGGGCTCGGGGGTGCTCTGGGGCACACGGGGTGTCTGTTTTGGGGCACACAGAGGTGGTTTGTGACTCGGGGGGTGCTCTGGGGCACACGGGGTGTCTGTTTTGGGGCACACAGGGGTGGTTTGTGACTCGGGGGGTGCTTTGGGGCATACGGGGTGTCTGTTTTGGGGCACACAGAGGTGCTCTGGGGCTCGGGGGTGCTCGGGGGCACACGGGGTGTCTGTTTTGGGGCACACAGGGGTGGTCTCGGGCTCGGGGGTGCTCTGGGGCGCTCCCGGAGCCGCTCGGTGCCGGCGGGGCCCGGCCCCCCTCCTGCGGGCCGGGGGCGGCGGGAGCAGCGCTGGCAGATAATTGCTCTCCCTGGGGAGTTTTGTCTTCCAAACAGCCTCTAAATGTCACTCTTTGCCAAAGTGACGCCTGTCAGCCCCGCTAATTGTTTATGAGCGCGTCATGTTCCCACCTCCGGCCGCGCTCCCGCCCACCCGCCGGTGCTGCAGCGGGAGCGCGCCCGGGAGCGCGCCCCGAGCCGTGCCAGAGCCCATCCCGCTCCCTTCCTGCCCCGGAGCCGCCGGGAAGGAGCCCTCGGGGCACCCCCGGGAGCCGGGGCCGCTCCAGCCCCGCGCTCGCCGCGGTTTCGGGGGGCTGCAGCCCGCCCGGGACCCCTCTGGGGGTGTTCTCCCCACGAGGGAGGAGCGGGTTCCCGGGGGAGGAGGGGGCTGCTCCCCCGCCCTGCCCGGGACCCCCGGCTCAGGGCGCCTCTCTCCCCGCAGCCCTGGGGCTTCCCGGCGCGGGAGTTCCTGCGCAAGAAGCTGATCGGGAAGGAGGTGTGCTTCACCGTGGAGTACAAGACCCCGCAGGGCCGCGAGTACGGCATGGTCTACCTGGGCAAAGGTGGGTAGGCGTACCTGGGAGAGGTGGGGCTGGGTGGGATACCTGGGAACGGGTGGGGCTGGGATACCTGGGAACAAGTGAGGATGGGATACCTGGGAACAGGTGAGGATGGGTTACCTGGGAAAGGTGAGGATGGGATACCTGGGAACAGGTGAGGATGGGATACCTGGGAACAGGTGAGGATGGATGGGTTACCTGGGGAAAGGTGAGGCTGGGTGGTTTATATGGGAAAAGGTGGGGCTGGGTGTTTTACCAGGGAAAAGGTGAGGATGGATGTTTTACCTAGGAAAAGGTGAGGATGGATGGGTTACTTGGGAAGAGGTGGGTCAGGATGGTTTACCTGGGAAAAGGTGGCTCTGGATAGATTACCTGGAAAGAGGTGGGTCAGGATGGATTACCTGGGAAGAGGTGGGTCAGGGTGGATTACCTGGGCAGAGGTGGGTCAGGGTGGATTACCTGGGAAGAGGTGGGTCAGGATGGATTACCTGGGAAGAGGTGGGTCAGGGTGTTTTACCTGGGCAGAGGTGGTTCCAGGATGGATTACCTGGGCAGAGGTGGTTCCAGGATGGATTACCTGGGAAGAGGTGGTTCCAGGGTGGTTCACCTGGGCAGAGGTGGTTCCAGGATGGATTACCTGGGCAGAGGTGGTTCCAGGATGGATTACCTGGGCAGAGGTGGTTCCAGGATGGATTACCTGGGAAGAGGTGGGTCAGGGTGTTTTACCTGGGCAGAGGTGGTTCCAGGATGGATTACCTGGGAAGAGGTGGGTCAGG